AAACGCGCGCCGAATTACTGTCGTCGCAAGGTCTGAACGCTGCCCACGTACTCTGTATGATCGATAAGGCATGCAGGGGCTGGAAAAGGTGGCGGAGTTATAGGGATCTCGTATGGAGCCCCAAGTCGTTTCTTACACGATTTGACTTCTTGAGTTCTCATGCTGAACATCTACAGAAATATAATAGGATCTGGCACTGTTTACTCGTTACTGCCCCAATCTTTTGAAATCAAGCCAGTTTTTCACCGACTTTCTTGTACGACGGTAGATTTGGCTGAAAATTCGCTTCCAGAGGTAGTTCAAACACAAACATCACTTCTGGTTGCCCCGAATCTGCCCAGTGCCTGTGGAGTTAGGGTTGGAGGAAAGTTGGTGCAAGTGACAACGCAGCCTGTCACGCTTGTCCCCACTCTTCTCCCGAAATAGCGATCCCTTCCTCTGCTAGTGCTGTGCTTTAGAGAAGGATCATTATCGCAGGCGACCAGAACCAGGTACTGTCTTGTCTGGCCAAGTTTCTCTAGTTGTCCACACCGCTTGGTTTTCAGCGAACTGAAAGAAAACGGGGTATCTTGACGCGGGCTCTGGGCTTTTTCGGGCTAAGTGGATGTGATATCCATGTTCAGAAGGTCAAACTAACCCGAGGGACTGGTTTTTAACCGAATATGTTCATGGACAAAAAAGTCGAAAGAAACTGGCCCTATTTTGGAAGAGGGGCGTAAGGGGTGAATAGCGCATAGCATTTCGTCAAACTTTTGCTCAGTAACTTTGTAGTTCCAAAGCGGCATCATTTTTAGGGTCACCGCCGAGAGTCTCCGATCGCAAATGAAGCAGTGAGTCTAACTGAAGATATTTAAAACGTTTTTCATATACTCACATCCTCTGCTGAAGGTAGAATTTGTTCCGGGAGTTATCAAAATGTGTTTTGATTGTAAATCTTTTGTTTCCTTCAAACGAAGATGGCTGGAGTGTTCGGGTTACCAGTAGCAGTGATCACAGTTGTGACGATGATTGTAAAGGAGTGTGAATTCCACCTTTGTCCGAGTTTCGTGAAAGTTCGCGTTTCGGGGCATTTTCCAAGCGGCGTGGTTTAACCACCACTCTACGTTTGGCCCCTACGTTTTCTCAGTCTGTATCATTTTGAGATGACAACAGGATTAGAGCAAAGGGCACATAATCGTTGGAGACTTCCCAGCAGGAGGTCGTATTCGGTCGCTGGGGGGAGAGAGGGTACTTGGTCTGAGAAAATTATCTTTGATAGATGATTTTTCTTTCTTCACGTACGCTACGGGGAAGGGGGGGTCGCATCGCTCACTGTTGGGAGAACAAGGCGGGGGAAGGGGGGGGGGGTATTTGCCTTCCGAGAGAAATTTGCGGCGTTGGAAAAAGTTTTTCCCGGTTGTTGACTCTGACGGTGTTCCCCGTTTCACTTGTATTGTTTCACCATCCCGCTCAACAGCTGAAATTTTCAGGAAAAGCAGGAAAATTTCCGGGATATTCTGGACAAACTGCTAGGCAGTAGGGATTCTGGGAAAGTTGTAGGTGGGATTAAAAAAGTGGGTCGTGATTTCCTCGCGATTTTTCCTTTTTCACATATCTTATATACCTCCTCTAGAACGTATAAGAGGAGGGAACTAGGTGAAAGGGTCGTATCAAGCCACCTTCTAGGGGGGGAGGGGGAATCGTACGGACTTGAGCGAAATCCCCAACTAATGATGTGTCCTGGTAGTGCACAACATGATCCTTATTGTTAGTCCACGCTGGCACCAGCAGTGTGTAGCTGTTTTATTCCGCGACATTATGACAATATTTTGAACGAAAGTAGATTTGGCGACATTCTTTCCTTTAGAGTCTGACTCTTGGATGAGAATATCACAATCTGTCGAAGCGAAAATGCCTGGCGCCCACGTCACAGGCGCCAGTTATACGGACTAATTTTAGCGCCCTCGTTAGCAGCGCAGGCACCATACATTTTCGCGCCAGGGAGTGTGATAACTGCATTGGAGAGTACCTTTAAAGACATAATTCTGGTCCAAATCGACACCGGTAACCTTTTCGGCGAAAAGTGGCTTGAGTTTCGATCAGTGGATTGTTAAGGGTAAATAGTGTCCGAGCACAGTAGCAATCGTGCGCTTGTGCATTTTACATCCCTGAGACGCGGTGGGCGTGACTGCGTAATTTATCCAAATATGGGGTGGAATGGGTGAATCGTGGGATGTCCCAGTTTGAAAGCAGTGTCCCCTTGTTTTATTTTGCAGAAAGAAATGATTGTAGTTGTCTCAAAACGAGAAAACTTCCCATCAGAAGCGCAACCACCGTCATGTTCGAGTGAGCTCGCATCCACGCCTACTGCATTTCAAGGATGACCCCGCGCTAGAGCTCTAGCAAAAATCTCGCCATTAGAAAATAACAAGTAGCCACAGTAACGAGTAGCCAAATTTCTGATTCCAGATATCAAGCGCCTTTATATTTAAAAGACCTCGATGAACGAATCGAGGAGGAAGATCGTGTGGAAGTAACGCCTGTGAAGAAGAAGATCGACGACGATCGAAAAGATGATAGGCGTAAAAAGGAAAAAATCACCGTTGAATCACTGTTCAAGGCTGATCCACCATTGTCGGAAAAACCGACGGCAACTGCCGATAGCGCAGAACCGGTTCGTCTACTTCTGTTATCCGTTTGCACTTAAAAGCACCTATTTTTTTTAATGACAGACACTTGCTGTGCACGAAAAAGAGGCTGCAGTGTTCTGAGCATTAAACCGCTTCGTTCGCGATTGGCACTGAATTTTGTGTGACGTTTTTCGTGTACGTTTAAATTTACAGTCTCAGGCGCCAACAGTTTACTCAAATGCCATACCACCAGTGGGAGAGCCAGCAAGTTCGAGCCTCGTCACAGCAATGTATCCTTCGATTCGACGGCCGGTAGTCTCAGTAGTCAATCGGGTTAGTAGTACGAACATTTGACCTTCCCGTTCTTTTCCAGGCATTCAAGGCTGAGCAGCCACAATATTCACAGTACTTGAAGCAGTGTAACCCCGATATCTGGTTTGACTTAGCTAATGGGTTGACCCATAAGTGAATGGCGTTTTTTTCAGTCGAACAATCTCGCTGAAGCTTGCAACTTTTGCTATTGAGTTTCATACCTTTTTGTAGAGAATTCCTTGCTCCGACAACTCTCTTTAATTTTCTTGAAGGTTCTGTTTCTGCTCATACTGAAGTGCTCAAAGTGTCAGGTAAACGAAATTTAGCATTTTCGACAGTCTGTCTGTTTCACATCTAATTAAAAAATTAAAACCGCACGGCCTGTCAAGTATATGGCCGAGAAGCTATGTTTTTTTTAAATTCTTAAAATAGCTTCAAGAGTTAAAAGATCAAAATTTGAACCTAGGAGACGAACATCGAACCTAATGCTCCATTCACTCCAGTTGAGAGCTTACTGAATCAGCTTGTTCGCAGAGATTCATGCCAGTGTATGGGGACTCGTTATGTCGCACCTAGTTCGTTATCGGCCGGCTTCGCCGGCCGATCCTCCTTCCGCGTGTGAAGTGGGTCCCTGTGAGAAGTTTTCCATGTGAGGGAGGGCCAGTCGGATCGGCCGGCTTCGCCGGCCGATCCTCCTTCCGCGTGTGAAGTGGGTCCCTGTGAGAAGTTTTCCATGTGAGGGAGGGCCAGTCGGATCGGCCGGCTTCGCCGGCCGATCCTCCTTCCGCGTGTGAAGTGGGTCCCTGTGAGAAGTTTTCCATGTGAGGGAGGGCCAGTCGGATCGGCCGGCTTCGCCGGCCGATCCTCCTTCCGCGTGTGAAGTGGGTCCCTGTGAGAAGTTTTCCATGTGAGGGAGGGAGCACCAGATATCAGAATACAGGTACCCAGCTACCGCCGGCCGATCCTCCTTCCGCGTGTGAAGTGGGTCCCTGTGAGAAGTTTTCCATGTGAGGAAGGGCCAGTCGGATCGGCCGGCTTCGCCGGCCGATCCTCCTCTCGCGCGTCGTGAAGTGGTCGCACTGTGAGCAAATAGTTTTTCCGATGTGAGGGGAGGGCCAGTCGGATTCGGCGGCTGTCGCGGGGCGGCGATCCTTCTTCCGCGTGTGAAGTGATCTGTGAGAAGTTTTCCATGTGAGGGAGGGCCAGTCGGATCGGCCGGCTTCGCCGGCCGATCCTCCTTCCGCGTGTGAAGTGGGTCCCTGTGAGAAGTTTTCCATGTGAGGGAGGGCCAGTCGGATCGGCCGGCTTCGCCGCCCGTCGCTCCTTCCTCCGCGTGTGAAGTGGGTCCCTGTGAGAAGTTTTCCATGTGAGGGAGGGCCAGTCGGATCGGCCGGCTTCGCCGGCCGATCCTCCTTCCGCGTGTGAAGTGGGTCCCTGTGAGAAGTTTTCCATGTGAGGGAGGGCCAGTCGGATCGGCCGGCTTCGCCGGCCGATCCTCCTTCCGCGTGTGAAGTGGGTCCCTGTGAGAAGTTTTCCATGTGAGGGAGGGCCAGTCGGATCGGCCGGCTTCGCCGGCCGATCCTCCTTCCGCGTGTGAAGTGGGTCCCTGTGAGAAGTTTTCCATGTGAGGGAGGGCCAGTCGGATCGGCCGGCTTCGCGCGAAGCCGAGTCCTCACAGTTCCAGCGTGTGAAGTGGGTCCCTGTGAGAAGTTTTCCATGTGAGGGAGGGCCAGTCGGATCGGCCGGCTTCGCCGGCCGATCCTCCTTCCGCGTGTGAAGTGGGTCCCTGTGAGAAGTTTTCCATGTGAGGGAGGGCCAGTCGGATCGGCCGGCTTCGCCGGCCGATCCTCCTTCCGCGTGTGAAGTGGGTCCCTGTGAGAAGTTTTCCATGTGAGGGAGGGCCAGTCGGATCGGCCGGCTTCGCCGGCCGATCCTCCTTCCGCGTGTGAAGTGGGTCCCTGTGAGAAGTTTTCCATGTGAGGGAGGGCCAGTCGGATCGGCCGGCTTCGCCGGCCGATCCTCCTTCCGCGTGTGAAGTGGGTCCCTGTGAGAAGTTTTCCATGTGAGGGAGGGCCAGTCGGATCGGCCGGCTTCGCCGGCCGATCCTCCTTCCGCGTGTGAAGTGGGTCCCTGTGAGAAGTTTTCCATGAGGGAGGGCCAGTCGGATCGGCCGGCTTCGCCGGCCGATCCTCCTTCCGCGTGTGAAGTGGGTCCCTGTGAGAAGTTTCCCATGTGAGGGAGGGCCAGTCGGATCGGCCGGCTTCGCCGGCCGATCCTCCTTCCGCGTGTGAAGTGGGTCCCTGTGAGAAGTTTTCCATGTGAGGGAGGGCCAGTCGGATCGGCGCCCGGCCCCCCCTTTTTCGCGGCGGCGATCGCCTCCTTCCGCGTGTGAAGTGGGTCCCTGTGAGAAGTTTTCCATGTGAGGGAGGGCCAGTCGGATCGGCCGGCTTCGCCGGCCGATCCTCCTTCCGCGTGTGAAGTGGGTCCCTGTGAGAAGTTTTCCATGTGAGGGAGGGCCAGTCGGATCGGCCGGCTTCGCCGGCCGATCCTCCTTCCGCGTGTGAAGTGGGTCCCTGTGAGAAGTTTCCATGTGAGGGAGGGCCAGTCGGATCGGCCGGCTTCGCCGGCCGATCCTCCTTCCGCGTGTGAAGTGGGTCCCTGTGAGAAGTTTTCCATGTGAGGGAGGGCCAGTCGGATCGGCCGGCTTCGCCGGCCGATCCTCCTTCCGCGTGTGAAGTGGTCGCCCTGTGAGAAGTTTTCCATGTGAGGGAGGGCCAGTCGGATCGGCCGGCTTCGCCGGCCGATCCTCCTTCCGCGTGTGAAGTGGGTCCCTGTGAGAAGTTTTCCATGTGAGGGAGGGCCAGTCGGATCGGCCGGCTTCGCCGGCCGATCCTCCTTCCGCGTGTGAAGTGGGTCCCTGTGAGAAGTTTTCCATGTGAGGGAGGGCCAGTCGGATCGGCCGGCTTCGCCGGCCGATCCTCCTTCCGCGTGTGAAGTGGGTCCCTGTGAGAAGTTTTCCATGTGAGGGAGGGCCAGTCGGATCGGCCGGCTTCGCCGGCCGATCCTCCTTCCGCGTGTGAAGTGGGTCCCTGTGAGAAGTTTTCCATGTGAGGGAGGGCCAGTCGGATCGGCCGGCTTCGCCGGCCGATCCTCCTTCCGCGTGTGAAGTGGGTCCCTGTGAGAAGTTTTCCATGTGAGGGAGGGCCAGTCGGATCGGCCGGCTTCGCCTTCGCCGGCCGATCCTCCTTCCGCGTGTGAAGTGGGTCCCTGTGAGAAGTTTTCCATGTGAGGGAGGGCCAGTCGGATCGGCCGGCTTCGCCGGCCGATCCTCCTTCCGCGTGTGAAGTGGGTCCCTGTGAGAAGTTTTCCATGTGAGGGAGGGCCAGTCGGATCGGCCGGCTTCGCCGGCCGATCCTCCTTCCGCGTGTGAAGTGGGTCCCTGTGAGAAGTTTTCCATGTGAGGGAGGGCCAGTCGGATCGGCCGGCTTCGCCGGCCGGATTCCTTCCTTCCGCGTGTGAAGTGTGGTCCCCTGTGACGAATTTTCCATGTGTGAAGGGGAGGGCCAAGTCGGATCGGCCGGCTTCGCCGGCCGATCCTCCTTCCGCGTGTGAAGTGGGTCCCTGTGAGAAGTTTTCCATGTGAGGGAGGGCCAGTCGGATCGGCCGGCTTCGCCGGCCGATCCTCCTTCCGCGTGTGAAGTGGGTCCCTGTGAGAAGTTTTCCATGTGAGGGAGGGCCAGTCGGATCGGCCGGCTTCGCCGGCCGATCCTCCTTCCGCGTGTGAAGTGGGTCCCCTCGCTGCCGACATTTCCATGTGAGGGAGGCCATCGAATCGGAGCCCCCGCTTCGGCCGCCGATTCTCCTTCCGCAGTGTGAAAAAGTGGTCCTCCGTATGTGAGAAGTTTTCCATGTGAGGGAGGGCCAGTCGGACGAATGGTCGAAAGAAATATTATTTTGAGAATTACCGCACTTTACCGTTTCACTTCTAGTATATACCCCCCTAGTAGACAGCCATCAAAATTTTCTATGCGGCACTGCAAATATTGCACAAGACGGTAGGCAACACATTTGGGATACCCCCTACGATTATCCCTCATATGGCCAATACTGCCATACCAACTGGTTTTAGTTTCAGGTCACTCTTTGTGGGGTTTTTCTTCGGATGCGTTTCGAGGGTTTTCGTCCTCCATCGGTCCACTTCCGGAGCGACGCTCCGACGACATCACGGGGTTGCTTATTATCCGTCCACGCACTGATTTCCTATGTTGCCATTCTTCTCCCACTCTCCGAGCTTTTTTGGAATACCAACTACTAATAATTTTTGAAAGTTTCGTAGTAGGCACCGCTTACCTACAGAACGCCCTGCACAGAATGGGTTTGTTTCAGTCATGTCGTCCACGAACTAATTGCCTATCGGTTTGCCGCTTTTTCTCCGCTCTCTAGGGGCTTTTTGAACCGAACTAACGAATTTTTAAAATATGAAGCTCACAACTATGCGCACGCGCCGCCCACAGTGGGCGGGGCTTAGCCCAGTTCACGTGTGTTTCGTACATCTTGGCCCATGCCCTACCCATCCCAACCTTGACCCGCCCCCTGAGACTGGCTCTTCAGGTAGTTCCGAATTTCCGGACAGACAGACAACAGACAGACAGACAGACAGACAGACAGACAGACGTCGCCGTTTATATATAGTAGGATAGAGATCAGCAAGTACCCTCCCAATGGTAAACAACTGTGAAACTACTGTATAGTCAATGTTTTCTGTCGGTATTGAATGATTTGAGGATGGGACAAAAGTAGGAATATGCATGCCTAAATTGTTGTGCAGTAAATAGTAGGTAATTAAACAAATAAATAAAATACTGATTTACGAACCCTTGATTTTCACTCCCATTCACTGTGGCACATATCCCGTTCACTGCGATTAGCTACACTTGTGTGTTGGGAACCGAATTATGAAGTATTGCCGACGGTACCAACCATTTGGGATACTCCCTACGATTATCCCCTCACTATGTTCATCTGCCATACCACTGTTTAGT